GAGCAGAGTTTAGGGCTGTTGTACATAGGGTCGCTATGAGTCGCAGGCGACTCAACGGCACATAACAGCAACAACAACAACAACAACATAGATCCGTGAGCACAATGAATTATTCTGGTGTCCCCATTCTTCCCAACATGATCCGGAATTTGCCTTTACATCCTTAGTAAAATACAGGGAAACATCTTTCTGGTAGTCTCTGCTTTCAGCCAAGATCTATCTGACCATCAGCAACGACATCTCTGTGCCACTCCCTCTCTTGAATCTGTCTTGAGTTTCTGGTAGTTCCCTGTAAATATACTGTTCCAATAACTTTTAATAATCTTCAAGAAGGTTTTTTTTGTTGGTTTTTTTAAATTATTTTTGTGTGAGTGTACTGTCAAATCAGATCTGACGGGTACAGGAGGAGATTGTCCCTCCTTCCCTGGCAGAGCATCTGGTGGATTCGAACCGTGTGCCTCTGGGATTGTAGTTGCAGCTCCTTGCCACTAGGCCACCAGAGCTCCCCTAGAAGTTTTTACTCACACGTGATATCAATGATATTGCTCAATTATTTCCACAGTCTGTTGCCTCATCCTTTTGGAGAACAGGAACAAATGTGAATCTCTTCCAGTCAGTTGGCCGGGTAGCTGTTTTCCATGTTTGGTGGTAGAGAGTAGGGAGCATGTACAGGGGTGCATCTGTTTCCTCAAACACCTCAAATGGCATTTCATCAATTTCTGAGGTGTTGTGTTTTTTTTTAGCATTTGAAAACATTTCTTTTTATAAACTTATAGAGTTGTAGAAAGAGTAAGCCATGGTTCTGCAGAGTACTGTGTAAACACTGTAATTTCATGCCTCTGTTAAATCAGGTAATATACTCCTCTGCTCCCAGGGGACTTTCACCTGCACCCAGCACTAAATAAAGGCAGTGGACTCCAAAGAGTAACCATTTCACAGTGCCTTACTGTACTTGGCTTCAGTCCCCTTCAGATTCACCCCACCCCAACCCAGCAAATGCCTCTAGGGGCTCAGCCAGCTGTAGGCCATCCTCTCCAAGATCAGTTACAGCAAACACCCGAGGAGGTGCTAAGTCCTAGCCAGCTGCCCCATAGAAGTGTGGCTTCACACACTTGGCTTTCCACAAGTACCTTCAGGCTCCCTTTGGGTTTCTCGTCCCTGCAGCACACATCGAACTTGAGCCCTGTGCTCAGTGCACTTGACCTCTGCAGAGGCCTAAGTCCTTGGACAGTCTCTGGATGGGCAGAGGAATTCAGAATGGAGGTGTTCTCCCACCCAGCAGGCTTGTGCACAGAGCGCTTAAACTGGGCACCTGGGAGAGCTTCCAGAAAAGAATAACCATCACACTGCCTCCCCTAATCCCAGACTCCAAACTGACAGGTGAGGCCTGATTTTTTTGCCAATGCCTTGGGTGCAACTTGGATTTCTTCAGTAGTTGAAGCATATGCTTCTTGATCATATGTTGCTTCTTGAAATGTTTCTGTATCCATCACTTCTTCCTGGTACAGTAACTCATTCCTTCCATCTTCTTTTGATGCTTTTTATCTACTGAAGATTTTGCCCATTGAATTATTCAGTGTTTCAACTCAAGGTTTACATTTGTTCTTTAGTTCTTTCAGCTTGAGAAATACCAAGCATATTTTTTCCTTTCAGTTTTTGAACTCCGAACTCCGGGCAGCTCCTTGCATATTTTATTGTAATACTTTGCTTTGTCTTCTTGAGCTGCCCTTTGAAATCTGTTCTGCTATCTTACCTCAACATTCCTTCCTGGTTTTTTTAACTCTTCTTTTGTTCCAGTGCAAGTTTCAGAGTCTTTTCTGACATCCATTTTTATTCTTTTCTTTCTTCCCTCTCTTTTTTAAATAACGTTTCACTTTCTTCATGCCCAAAGAATAGGGAAATCTGTCTTGAAAGACGTTCAACCAGAGTGCTCCTTACAGGAAAGGATGGGAAACTTCTCACTTACTTTGGGTATGTTGTCAGGAGGAACCAGCCCTTGGAAAGAAAGGTCATGCTGGGCAAGGTAGAGGGTCAGTGATAGAGAGAAAGATCTTTAGCAGGATGGACACCGTGACTATCACAATGGACTTGAACATGACGATGGTTCATGAGGCCGGCGCAGGATAGGTAAGGTTTGGGTCTGTTGCTCAGAGGGTCGCTGCGAGTTGTAGTCAGCTATCAGTCATGGCTGACTGGGTCACACTGAACAATGAGCTGTTACAGATGATCTGTAAGGGTTGGAGAGAGTGAGCCTGCACCTCCTTCCAGGAAGCGTGCCTGGGAAGGGCGGCAGATGGGGAGAGGGCAGGGACTTGAGGTTAAGTTATGAGTGTAAGCAAGGGATTTTTTTCTGTGATTTACATTTTCCAACTGGTTTAGATTCAATACGTCTTTTGGGCCTTGATCCCCTTCATTAAAATATATATGAGTTGTGCTAGACTGAAAGGCAATCAACTAGATAGATGATAGATAGATAGATAGATAGATAATAGATTAAATAGATGATAGATTAGATGGATGATAGATGATAGATTAGATAAATAAAGATGTTGTGTTGTTGTTATGTGCCATCGAGTCGCCCTAAACTCCGCTCTGTCCTGTGCCAATCGCACTGTCTCTGACACTCCCATCCCAATTATCCCAGTCACTGAATCAATCCACCTCATAGAGGGTCTTCCTCTCCTGCGCTGTCCCTCCACCCTCCCAAGCATGATGTCCCTCTCTAAGGACCGGATAGATATAAATAATAGATAGATGATAGATGATAGATAGATAGAAGGTAGATAATAGATTAGATAGATGATAGATAGAAGATAGAGGATAGATTAGATAGATAGATCGATAGATAGACAGACAGATAGATAGATAGGTAGATAGATAGATAGACAGACAGATAGATAGATAGGTAGATAGATAGATAGATATGGTGACATTAAAATACCCCAAGACTTCTCTATTTTTCTTCTAGACTCTCTGGAGCCCTTGAGCCCCAATCCTCACTCTGCATCCTCTTATTCTTTCCCTATCAATAAGTGTTGTCATAGATTAAAACAACCTTGGAAACAGGAGTGGCATCCACTTCCGTAATTAGCTTGCCTGCGGAAACCCTATAAACCTGGAGAGAGGATGAAAGTCACACAAGTGTTGAGGACTTTTGTTCATAGGGTTGCTAAGAGTTGCCTACGACTCGATGGCACTTAACAACAACATCAATAAGTATTGCTGCTTCCAGTAGGTATACACACACACACACACACACACACACACACACACACACACACACCAGTTTTCATCACAATGACCATGTAAACCCCTCCCAGCAAACACTCCTGTTGCAGCATACCCAGGAGTTGTCTCTGTCCCACACCACCCCACAACCAAGATGAGGTGAGCTCCGAAGCAGAGATCCAATTGAGCAGATTGTTTAATCAGACAGTATAAAAGAAGTCCTTTCATGGGAAACAAAGATGGATGTTTTACAGAGTCCGTGATCATTTTTATTTCATGCCCTGCCCAGGCGGTAACAGAGACTCGTGAAGTAGGGTGTATCTGGAACAAGCTTCATTCAGGCTAGTAAGAGGGGCCTGAGCATCAGGGAGTGGGGCATGGGGAGGGGGGTGAGAGGAGGCAAAGCGAAGCTCCCGTCTCCAACTGACTGGTGGCCTCGCCTCGTGGATTTTAACTTCTGTGGAAAGCGCAGGCTTCCAGGAGTTCTGTGGGACAGAGCACAGGGGTAGGACAGTGAAAATCTACCTACATTTATTTATCAACGGTTCGGTGAATGTACTATCAGGCCTGACACAAAAGCATTCAAATACACTTCCATTCTCCTTTTTTTATTAGCATGGTGCCCCAGCTCAAGGTGTCCGCACAGCTTCCCCACTTGCCCACACAGCTCTGGGGCCCAGTCCAGTGAGCAGTGCATCTCAAAAATTATAACTATAATGTGATTTCCCTGCGTGTTCTCACCTTCTCCCCTTGTGTTCTACAGGAAGGGGTTGTTGTTGTTGTTGTGTGTCATCAAGTGGCTTGTGACTCATAGCGATCTTTTGTGCAAGAGCCCTAAACCCTGCTCTATCCTGTGCCAACCTCACTGTCTCCGACACACCTACTTTCATTACCCCAGTCACAGAATCAATCCATGGTATCGAAGGTCTTCCTCTCCTGTGCTGTCCCTCCACCCTCTCCAAGGACTGGTCCCTCCTTGCAACATGCCCAAAGTATGTCAGACGAAGCTTCAGAATCCTTGCCTCCAAGGAGCAGCCTGGTTTCACCCTCTCCAGGTTGAACCTGTTTGTTCTGAATTCACGCAGCTGGACGTGCACTGTGCTCTCTGACCTCTTCTGCTAGATTACACTTTAGTAGGAGACACTAGCCCTACCCACCCAGAATGTTCTAGTTTCCATGGGAGGGTTGGCCGGAAGAGCACAGGATGGCACAGCAAGACCCCCTCTCTTGCTAGAGGTTACAATCTAGGGAAGCGCTCTGTAGAGGCATGCAGCTTTCACCACAAGTGCCTGGAGTCGCCACTCACAGGCAGACAGCCTAACTCTCATGCTCGATCAAGGAGCTCTGCTGGCCTAGTGGTAAGAAGCTGTACTACACCGCATTGAAAAACAAGGAACTCTTGCAATATTATACAAAATGTGTGACCTTGAAGACATTATGCTGAATGAAATATTCCAGTCACAAAAGGACAAATACTGCATAGTGCCGCTGTTGCAAAACGGGACTGACCTGGAGGTTGGGGTGAGACTGAGAAAGATGGGATAAATTATGTATACTGCATAGAAACAGATGAGGGAGAAAACTCTTTAAAAGTGATATATGATTAGGTATTATGGTCATGACAAGAGTCCAGAATGAAAGCTGCATAGTGGAGTGGACTCGTGTCGGAGGATTGTATAACAATGAAAGAATTTTTCTTTTACTTTTCAAAGATAACAGTGAACTGGAGGGGAGGGCTGGGCAGGGAGAAAAATGCAACAATGAATGAATGGAAATCTAAAATCTCTGTAAACATTCATTAAAATTAATTTAAGGGGGAAAAAAAGAAAAGAAGCTGTACTGCAACCTCAAAAGGCACATAGTTTGGATCCACCAGCTGCTCCGTGGGAGAAGGATGGAAAATCTCCTCCTGTGCGATCAACTGCCTCTGAAAACCCGCTGTTGGGTCAGCTGGGGGGTCAGCTGGAGGCTCGGTTCCCACTCAACAACACACAAGAACAATAATGCTGATTCAGTGTCTCTGTAGTGTGGGCCCGGGAATCATGATTTTAATAGATCCAGTCCAGTTGAAGAATGATGACTGTAGAACCACACATTATTCTCCCACGTTTCCCAAAGGATTGCAAGTAAGTCTAACAGAGTTCCACTGCGAAGCTGTGTTTGACTGTCTGCTCTCTCTTAGGAAGCTAGTCTTCCACACAAGTGTAGAAGCTTTTGGCTACTTGACCTCTCCATTTATATAAACTCTCTAGAATTGTTAAGTACTATTGAGTCAAAACCAACTCATAGCCGACCCTGCAGTGGATTTTCAGAGGCAATAAATCGCATGGGAGGAGACTGTCCATCTTTGAACCACGTAGCAGCTGGTGGATTCGAACCACTAGCCCTTTAGGGTTGGCAAGCAACTCCTTACCACTAAGCCACCAGGGAGCATTGTCTAAACAAACCTTCTTCAGTGACGAGAATGTTCTCTCTGCTAATCAACCCATAGCCACGTGTGGCTTGAACGAGTACTTGAAACGTGGCTGGTGTGACTGAGGAACTGAATGTTTACGTTTGTGTTTATTTTTATTTCAATGTCATTAACCAGATGTGGCTTGTGACCACCACACTGGACTCCAAAAAAAGGAGTTTTCTGTCGAGGAATGGGCGTGCACAAATTAGCTGCTTCATTGGTAAAAAGATGGAATTCAGCACGTCCAGTGAATTCCCGCCCCTCATATGGCAAAACTTTGTCTCGCGGACGTTGGGCATGTTGGTAGGAGGGGCCGGTCATTGGGAAAAGGCATCGTGCTTGAAAAGGAGAAGGGTCAGAGAAAGAAAGGGATGCCCTTGATGAGGTGGCTTGATACAGTGACAGTATCAATGGGCTTAAGAGCATCAGAGACCACGAGGATGGTGCCGGCTAAGGGCAAAGGTCAGAGCTGTTATTCATGGGGTCACTATGAGTCACACTCCGCTCAGTGACACTTAACAACAACAGTCCTCTGAGTCTGCCTGATGCTTGCTGTGTGGCAGTACGAGTGAACCTTTCATGACTTGCCGGAATGACAGTTTTCTCAGCCCTTCCTCTGTCCCTGTGATCTCATGGGACCTCACCTTAACCTTCCTCTTCTACCCGCCATCCAAGAACCCCTGGTGTTCCTCCTACTCACTTGAGGTTGAACAGTGCTCCAGGCTTTCAATAGCTGTCAGGTATCTTTCTCCCAAGTACTTCTCATAGGTGTTTCTGTCGTGGAGGTGGGCCAAGCACTTTGTGTCATCCCTGAACAGGAGGTCGCTGTTGCCTTCCGACTGGAACATGCAGAACTTGCCCTCATTGCACTGAGGTGCCCCGACACCAAACTCAGCCTGTCAAAGAGGAAACGCACAGGTAGTGGAGGCTGTCAGAAGCTGGAGAATGCCAGGTGGGAGAAAGCCAGAGCTCTTACTTAACTAACCCGTGGTTACAAGGGAAGTTGACTGAGCTCTATCTTCCCACATCCATCACTTGGCATTGGGAAGCTCTGGGGGCTTCATGGTAAGGAGGTACACTGCCAAAGGCAGGCGGTTCAAATCTCCACAGAAGAAAGATGGACAATCTCCTCCCCTGTGATTTATTGCCTCTGAAAATGCATTAGCGGGTCAGTTATGAATCAGTTCAAACTCCATGGTTGTCATGTCATTGTTATGTTCTGTAGAGTCAGAACTGACCCATAGCTGACCCACAAGTAGGTTTTCAGAGGCAGTTAGTAACTTAGGAGGAGATTACACATCCTTTTCCTGCAGAGCAACTGGTGGCCTCGAACTGCCGAACTGCATGCCTTCAGGCTTGCAATGCACCTTCTTGCCATTAGGCCACCAGAGCTCCAGGGTACATAACAACATAAAACAGGGTATTACGGGGAACTCTGGTGTCCTAGTGGCAAGAAACTGCACCGCAATCCCAGAGGAACGTGGTTCAAATCCACCAGACGCTCTGCTGGAGAAGGAGGGGTAATCTCTTCCTGTACCAGTCAGATCTGATTTGATGGTACACAACACAAAAACTAGTAATAAAAATTTTTTTTTAAAAAAAAGAAAGAAACAAACAAACAAAAACCCAACAGGGCATTACCCACCATAGGGCCCAGATCCATGATTTCCTGTGTTCCCCGAACCTCTAGATTCTAACTTTGACCATTCTTCTGAGTAATCCCCCTTGCCTATGCCTGACCTCTTTGATCCCTCCTCTCCATTTCATTGGCCACGCTCTTTTGGGGTTACTTATAAGAAACAAGAGGCCAAGAACCATATCCTTTCATTTACTTAAGAGAACACCTGAATACATGCTACCTTTATTTAAAACAAAACAGAATAAACAGAAAACCTATAGGTGGCATCAAGCGAGAGCAAGCCGTCCCTGAGAACAAGGGCTTCAGGATGAGGATATTAAGGAACCCACTGAGCCTGGATTACTGTTCTCCCCCAGAGGGTGCACTTTCTTGTGGGATACATGTGCTTTCTGTTGAGAAAATGCTTTGTATCTGTGCAAGAAAAACACAGTGCTAAACAGGACTAATTAACGTTTTCCAAAAAGTCTGATGTGGAGGAAAACAAGGGTGCCATTGATTAAGGCCAGGGAGGACCACGAGAGCACTGGCCCCCAGGGAATGGATGATGCATGATTTTTCTCCAATGTCCAGCACTGGGAGACAAACACAGCTAACATGCTACAAGTGCCTCCCCTACATCGGACATTCTCCCAGCCCTTTGCTGGCACGGCCTAATTTAGCTCTTATTATAAAGAAGAAGTATTATTGTTGTACGGTTTTTGATTGTATGCTATTGCTTGTGCAATCCTAGGTTCTGGCCTATTGGTGTCCCTAAAGAAATCCCACGATCATTTAAAAAAAAGTAAATAAAAGAGGTAAATAAAATTATCACATGGAGCTCTGGTGGCTTGCTGTTATTAGGTGCCACGGAGTTAAGGACAACTCATAACAACCCTTTGAATGACAGATCTGAATCCTGCCCTGGAGTGGAAAGGAATTGCACCGCCAACTCAAAGATACATGGTTCGAATCCCCCAGGTGCTACACGAGAGAAAGATGGGCAGTCTCCTCCCATGTGATTTACTGCCTCTGAAAACCCACTGGAGGGTCAGCTGTGTGTCAGTTCCGACTTGACAGTACATAACAACACAAAATGATCACTCTTGCTAGTTTCTAAATGAGAAACAATTCAGGCACACAGAGGTTGAGTAACGCACCTGGACGACACTGGCAGGAAGCCACAAAGCTGGGATTTGAACCTAGATAATTTGAGGTGAGCCCATGACCTCCCAATTCTAGTTTCCAGAAAGAGAACGCTGGAACCTGGGCATGGATTTAGCTACGAATGCCCCCCGAATAATCCATGCCCACCTAGAAGAAGGGGCAGGAGGCCCCAGCTGCCCATACCTGTTGGTTGAGAAGCATCTGGCGAACACAAGCTTGCTTTTCTTTCCTTGTCACCACGGCGTGATTTGGGACTCGGGCGAGGTGGCAGTTCTTAGCATCCGCCACAGGTTTCCGGGTGCCATCCAGGCACAGCAACTGAAAGTCTTCCTGCTTCAGATTTTCACTACCTTCAAGGTCATTGTAACAGGAAGAGAAGGAAGGTGGATCAGTCACTTTGCTAACCAGTCATGCGGAGCCAGAGACCGCCTCCTTTCCGCTTCTCCACGAGGGAGCCACATCTTGTGGATGTTGATAAAAAAGATCTTTACTACTAAACTCTGAATCATCCTGTTTGTGTTGCTGTGGCATAGGAAGAGATGATAGAAGAAGAATTGATGCCTTTGAGCTGTGGTGCTGAAGAAGAGCATTGAATATATCACGGACTGAGAAGAGAACTAACAGATCCGTCTTGGAGAGAATGAAACCAGACTGCTCTGAGAAGAGAACTAACAGATCCGTCTTGGAGAGAGTGAAACCAGACTGCTCCTTGGAGGCAAGGATTTTGAAGCTCTGTCTGATATACTTTGGGCATGTAGCCAAGAGGGACCAGTCCTTGGAGAGTGATGTCGTGCTTGGAAGGGTGGAGGGACAGCACAGGAGAGGAAGATCCTGGATGAGATGGATTGGGGTAATGAAAGTAGACGTGTCAGAGACATTAAGGTTGGCTCAAGAGAGAGTAGGGTCCAAAGCTGTTGTACATCGGATCACTATGAGCACAGGAAACTTGACGGCACATTACAACAACAACAACAGTCATAGTCGACTTGACGCTACTTAACAACAACATTGGAACAACTGACAGAATGTGGATTTGGTAAGTATTAAATTAATGCCAATAGGAAATGTTCAGTCATTTTTTGTAACTGTACGATGAGTAAGAGAATGCCTTTCTTCTTGGAAAATACACACTAAAGTGTGAAGAGAAGAGGAGGCCAGATGATTGTGTGTCTGGGCATGTGTGGGCAGAGAAAACAGGGTCACCTGATCAACACACATGTCACCACTCTGTCTACACAGATGAAGGTCAACAAGCTGAGAATCAGGGCTTTGAAGCCTGGCAGGGTTCCTAATACTTCCATGAGGATCTCAGAAACACAAGGGCCTCCTAGTGACCTGCATCCTCATGGCCTAGATTCCATGGGGGAAGCGGAAGCAAACACACATACCAGTATTCTGCATGACCGTTTGATCCTTCACAAAGGCCACATCTCCCTCCTCAACCAGGCACCTGCAGAGTTCCAGATGAGAGAGAGAGAGAGAGAGAGAGAGAGAGAGAGAAAGAGAGAGAGAGCAGGTCAGGGCGACACGTCAGTCATTCAGGAGGGCTACCCTATACATTCAAGGTTGACGAGCTGAAACCAACTCAATAACAATTGAAACTGGGTACAAAGAGGGCTGCCTACCTTTGGGGCCGAGTATTGATTTCCTTTCAATTGTTTTTGAGTAGGAAATCCACTTGTTGATTTGACATGCTTTGCTTAATAGGTCCCTATGACTCTCTTTAAAAAAGGGGACTGGGGAAGCTTTATAGATATTTATAGAAGCCAAGTTTTAAAGTCTCTTATCTTTTTGTACCTAACAACAACAGCAGGGAGCTCTGATGGCCTCGTGGCGAGAGGTTGCGCTACAATCCCAAAGGTACACGGTTCAAATCCACCAGTTGCTCTGAGCGATAAAGATGAGTAATCTCCTGCACTCCCAGAAGTACGCAGTTCGAATCCACCAGATGCTGTGCTGGAGAAGGAGGAGCAATCTCCTCCTGTACCAGTCAGATCTGGTTTGACGGTACACACACACAAAATTTTTTTTAAAAAGGATGGGTAATCTCCTTCTGTGCAATTAACCATCTCTGAAAATCTGATTCTGACTCAATGGTACGCAACAACAACAACGACAACAATCTTGACCTATATCTTTCAGATACATGCTGTTGTTGTGTACCACAGAGTTGGAACCAACCCATAGCTGATCCTCCGGCAGTTTTACAGAGACAGTTAATCACACGAGAGGAGACTGCCCATCCTTCTCCCCAGAGCAGCTGGTGGATTCAAACCATGTGCTTTTGGGACTGCAGCTCAGCTTCTTGCCACTAGGCTGCCAGTGATACTATGAGAAAAAAAAAAATAAAAAGACAGGAGTATAAAAGGAGACTACATTCAATCTCCCTCAAACCCTTAAATCATTGTGAAAGGAATACATTCTACATGGTAGAACAGGAAACTCAGGGATAAGAAAGGAATATACACTCATTCACAGGGAGCTCGGGTGGCCTAGTGGGTAAGGAGTTGCACTACCAATGCAAAGGCTGGTAGTTTGAATCCACCAGCTGCTCCATGGGACAAAGACGGGCAATCTCCTTCCATGAAATTGACAGCCTCTGAAAACCCCCCGGAGGGTCAGCTCATGACTTAACCCCAGTGGGTGAGTGAGTCTAACTCACAAAGTGGCTGTGGCTGGTGAAATCTGTTACCATTTGCTTTCTTTTTTCCCTTCACTGCTGGGAACAAACAAATGCGTCTCGGACAAAGTGGAACCCGAGAGCTCCTTCGAGGCAAGGAGGTTGAAACCCTGTCTCACATAGTTGGAGCGTGTTGTTAGGAGGGGGAGGAGTCAGTCCCTGGGAAAGGACATCATGCCTGGAAAAATGGAGGGCCACTTAAAGGCGAGGAAGACCTTCCAAAGAGATATATTGACACTTGACTAGAACAATGGGCTTACACTTAGCAGAGCTGATGAGTGCGGCACAGAACAGGGCAAGGTTTAATCCATCGTTCTCTGGCCCCTGAGAGGCCTGATGACCCGTCACACACATCTCTACCTCTGATTGCTGAACCTGGTCCCTAACATCTGCAGCACTGAGGGCTGAAGAATCTAAGGGTCTCAGCCTTAGCTCACCAACAATGAAATCCAGTAAGACCAGGATATGTTCTGTCCCCGTCAGATTGAAGAGGGTTACCTGAAAGCCCCGTTGTAGCCGTAGTATTTCTCCTTGTTGTTGTTCGCACACTTGTTTGGTTGTGGACCAGCACACAGTGCACAGAGATTGGATTCTGGGTCGGCCCCAGGAACACAGCTTTGACTGAAAAATTTATCTGTGGAGAAAGACAATAGGAATTCAGCTCTCCCCACCTGATCCAGTACAAGTCGCCTTTACCTAACTTGTAACAGTGTGCCCTGGAGGCAGGACACGCTCATTTGGTGACTTGCCAGGCTGTGGACACTAAAACGAGACTTAATGGAGTTCAAAGGAGTAAGGGGTCATTATCACACAGGGCGGGAGGGATTTCTCTGAACACAATGATGATGTGATGTTTTAACTCTACAAAAATAAAATAGCCCCAGAGCCCAAGTGCTCGTCAATAATTGAGTGGATGGAGCAATTTATAGTGCAGTCACACATGGAATAGACAATGAACTTGTGAAACATTACAAACATGGGTTGAGTCTGGAAGACATTATGTTTAGTGAAATATCTCTGTCACAAAAGGACAAATACTGCATAAGCCCACTGTTGTAATAATAGGATCAATACTGTAGTGGAGAGAATCAGGAAAAGAATGGATAGATAGTGAACACTGTATTGGAATGGGTGAAATAAAGGACAATCTAAAAGGAATTGATTATTAGAAATTACATAACCATTAATAGCCTAGAACAGGGTAAGCATTACAGTAGGAATTGGGGGTGGGGGAACGGAAAGTATACATGCCTGAATGAATAAAAACCAATCCCTCTGTGAACTTTATTTTTTTTTTAAAAAAAAGGAAATTACATAAAGGGGATAAAATGTGTATATTTCATCCCCAAGACTGTGCCACTTAAGTTCAGACATCTTTTTTCCCTGGTAGTGATTAGAACCACCAGCACCAGGACTCCAAGCCTGGCAGAAGGAGAGGGCATTTACCTCAGCTCAGCCAGTTCCCCGGGGTTGCAGAAGCACCAGCCAAGGAGAGCAGAGGCAATGCCCTATGCTGTTGGGGAGCCTGACTGTTCTGACCATCGTCCCCCCAGTATCCCATGGACTGCCAGGAGAATATCTGTCTTGGGAAAAGTGTAGCCAAAAATAACTCCATACCTGAAGATACGTTCAGAGGGCACAGAGAATAAATTTCTATCCCCTCTTGGAAGGGACCTCTGATCTAAATGAGGATTCTGTGAAGCTCCTGACAGAAAGTCCTTAAAGGGACTGGTGCCTAACACATGTAGCACCAAGGGATGAAGAATGGATCACACAAATCAAGTTGTAGGCATGACCCAGTGTCTATCCACAGCACCAATTTCTTCTTTTCCTTGGTAGCAAAATTTAGTTTTCTTTGGGCAGACAACAGATCAAACTATAAAATCTGCATTTCTCAGCCTCTTTGACAAATAAGTAGGTGTGGCTGTGTACCTAAACTCTGGGCAACCACAAGTGCCACAAGGCCATTTGGCTCCTACTTTAAAAGCTCCTTTAAGAAGATGACAGCATGATGTAACCACTGTGGAAGGCGGTATGGCGCTTTCTCAAAAAGTTGGAAATAGAAATACCACTTGACCCAGCAATTCCACTACTGGGAATATACCCTGAAGAGACCATAGCTGACATCCAAGCAGATATATGCACACCCATGTTTATTGCAACTTTGTCCACAATAGCAAAGAGTTGGAAACAACCTAAGTGTCCATCAATAAATTAATGGATACAATGGAATACTATGCTGCATTGGAAAAACAAAGAACTCATGAAATATTATGCAAAATGGGTGACCCTGGAGGACATTATGCTGAGTGAAGTATCTCAGTCACAAAAGGACAAATATTGCATAGTGCCATTGTTGTAAAATGGGACTGACATAGGGGTTAGTGGGAGACTGAGAAAAAGGGGATAAATAATGTTTACGGCATTGAAACAGATGAGAGAGAGAACTGTTTAAAAGGGATATATGATTAGGTATTATTGTCATGACAGGAGTTCAGAAGGTAGGCTGCACAGTGGAGTGGACTTGTGGGGAGGGGTTGCATAACAATGAAATAATTTTTCTTTTACTTTTCAAGGACAAGAGTGAATTGGGGGGAGAAGGGTGGGCAGGGAGAAAAGTGCAACAATGGAAGGATGGAAATCCAAAATCTCTGTAAATTTTCATTAAAATGAATAATAATAAAAGAAGAGGAAAAATATACGTTGCATTAAAAAAACTCCTAAGAAGAAAACAGAAAAAAATCTAAAAATAAAAAAGAAGAAGAAGAAGATGACAGCAGAGGCTGCACCCTCCTGTTTGCCTTCAGAACCTTGGTTTCTAGAACATGGATGTACTGGCAACCTGAAGATGGAGAATTGTACAAAGAGGAGTCCGCGTTTCCTACGAACATTTGATCATCGGATCTGCGTTTCTTACGACCACTCTCTTTTTCATGCAAGGACAAAGTCATTTACTCATCACCTGTAACCTACATTTCCGTCCTGATTCTGCTGCCTGGCTCTCCAGGTCTCCTGTGATGTTCTGCTGTTTCACAGAAGCTGATCTGTCACTTTGCCCCAGATCCACGAGGCTCCGCACCGGGTTACACTCTCCCTCTCTCCTCCCATGTTCTTGTTGCAACCCCCACGCACAGCTCTGCTCCCCGGCTTCTCTTACCGAACTCGCAGGACTTGGTCTCGTTGTAAATCAGACCCATGGGGATGTTCCAGCCGGCGGTCCTCCTCATGCCGGTGTGGCAGGACTTCTTGCCTTTCAGAGAGCCCCAGGTGACACCAGGATTCGATGTCTTCGCCACTGCCACGGCAAGGTATCCTTACAGGAAAGGGGACAGAAAAGGTGGCATTAACGTCTCCGTGGGCTCCTAGGAAAGTCAGCCAACTCCCGAGAGAAGCAAAAATACCCCAAGTTCTTCGTGCTCCCTTTGAATGGAAACTCCCAACTACTTGAGGCTTGAAAGCAAAAAGACAGTCAGCTGGTGCCTTCTGTTAGAGCGAGCCGTGGCTTCTTTTTAAAACAAGAATAAATTATCAGCAGAGCAATCGCTCCACTGATGCACAGAGACATGGGAGTTACATGCTAGCAAGTCACCCTCCAATGTGCAATATCAGAGGAACTGACACTGAACACTGAATCAAACTCCAAGATTTTATAAGTTAACATGTAATGAAAGACACTAGTAAAGGACCAGTAAAATACAGAGAATGGTCAGGCATTTTCTGAGAAGGAGAATATTGCCCGAAAAGAAATGTGCAAAGTGGAAGAGCAACACGGAGCCTGGCAGCCCATCATATTCAGCAGCAAACACACACTGGTCTTTAAAACTGGGGATGGGACGTTAAGCTGTGATTTCCATTTCCTATTTGATTAACTCGGGAAATAGTTTCTAGTAGAAAAAAGGAAAAGCTCTATAATCCGGGATGAAGAGGCCTAGCTAGACTCTGCTCAAGGGCTTAGCTCTTCAAGTGACGGGAGTTACTTGGGTGACATGGTGTGTGTAGAGTTACTGCTCGCTGTGTGGGACGCATCCCTCAGGGATCTGAACACAGGGAACCAATGGATCAGGAGTCACTTTAAGACTTCTTGATCTTGTTTCCCAACATCTCCACATCCACCACAGCCACAAGTGTGGGTGAAGGCCAGGCTGGTGCTGCCGGGGAGGTGAGGCTAATTTTGCATCTGCCTATATGAGGTTCTCTCTTCAATTATACAAGACATGTAGAAATGCAGAGATAGATATAGATATAGATGATATAGATATAGATATAGATATAGATATAGATATAGATATAGAGATAGATAGATAGATAGATAGATAGAGATATACAGGTATATGCATACGTATGTGCGCACATACATATATATACATATATAGCTATCTCTGTATACATGTTATAATATTATATGTATTATCACACTTGAAACATATATTTCTATTATAACATATAATATATACATATTATGTAAGATATATATTATGTGAGAGATATATATTATGTGAGATATATATTATGTGAAACATATATATTATGTTAGACACATATATATTATGTGAGATAGATATATCTGGAGAAAGAATGAAAGTCACGCAAGTGTCGAGGACTTCCGTTCATATGGTCGCTATGAGTCACCTACGATTTGATGACACTTAACAACAACAACAACAACAACAACATATGTACAGCGCTCTGGTGTCCTAGTGGCAAGAGGCTGTACTGCAATCCCCGAAGACATGCAGTTCGAGGCCACGAGCTGCTCCACGGGAGAAGGATGTGCAGGCTCCTCCCAGGCGATTAGTTAGCTGCCTCTGAAAACCAGAGAGTCAGCTATGGGTTGGTTTCTACTCGACAATACACAACAATGAATATGTCTAGTTGTTGTTCGAGGCCGTCGAGTACGACTCCTAGTGACCCTAAGAAGAGCCAACCTGGATCCTGCCCGGTTCTGTGTCATCCTCATCATGTCTCACACTCTGGAGCCTATTGCTAAAGTCACCATGTCAAGCGGAAAAGATCAATCAGGGGAGCTCTGGTGGCCTAGTGGCAAGGAGCTGCAACTACAATCCCAGAGGCACACGGTTCGAATCCATCAGATGCTCTGCTGGGGAAGGAGGGACAATCTCTTCCTGTACCAGTCAGATCTGATTTGACAGTACACTCACACAAAAATAATAGTAATTAAAAAAATTAGTTTTTTTAAAAAAAGGATCAATCATCCAGACAAGAGCTGCATAGCGAAGTGGACTGGGGAGGGGGAAACTGCAAGAGTGAAAGATTTTTTTTTCTTTCCAAAGAGAAAAGTGATCTGCGGAGGGAGGGGGGCGGGGGTAGGGAGGAAAATGTGCAACAATGAATGAATGGAAATCCAAGTTCTCTATAAACTTTTGTTAAAATCTCAATTAAAATTTTTTTTTTTTAAAAAGAAAACTAGACACCAGATGGCGGTGTCCAAAAAACAAGAATCTAAAATATAGTGTTAATGTTTTTCTATGGATTACATATTAAAAATAATAGTAGTTTATATACGTATATATATATTGAAACAAAACATATTACCAGAAATAAAAAAGATCAATCATTATGATTAATTACTCCTCTTGCATGATTCCTTTGCATTTCAAAATGGGACTCTTGTGTTGCCTATATTTCTGAATTAGAAATTCACCTGAGTCCCCCCAACATTAGGAAGGTACTTTTTTTGTTTACTTTTTAAAAAATTTTATTTTAATGAACATTTACAGAGATTTTGGATTTCCATTCATTCCTTGTTGCACTTTTCTCCCTGCCCACCCCTTCCCCACCAGTTCACGCCTCTCCTTGAAAAGGAAAAGAAAAATTCCTTCATTATACTGCATTGAAACAGATGAGGGAGAGAACAGTTTAAAAAAGCGATATATGACTGGGTACTATGGTTATGACAAGAGTCCAGAATGAAGGCTGCACAGTGGGGTGTAGGGGGACGGAAAGGAAGGCTTTTTTTAACTTCAAATCTGACTCACCTGCTTCGGCTTCAGTCACACAAATGGGGCCCGCGGCTGGAGAAGAGAAAACAAACGCGTCAGGCCTCATTTATGCTTTAAAAATCATGCGTTGCTCAAGCCACACATCTCATAGCAAAGACTCAGGGGGAAACTATCTACATATTATCAATTCATATTACATATTACCAATTCCAACAGGTAGCTCTGGTGGCTTGTTGTTGTTGTGTTGCCATTAAGTAAAAACTGACCTATAGTAGGTTCTCAGAGGCAATAAATGGCGTGGGAGGAGAATAGCCATCTTTCTCCTGCAGAGCAACTGGTAGATTTGAACCACGTGCCTTTGAGATAGCAGCACAGCTTCTTGCCACAAGGCCACCAGAGCTCCCTCTGCTGGCTTAGGGGTAAGTAACTGTGCTGCCAAGGCAAAGGTGGTTGTTGTTACGCGCTGTCAAGTCGCCTGTGACTCATAGTGACCGTATGTACAACAGCCTTAAACCCTGCTCTGTCCTGTGCCAATCTCACTATCTCTGACACACCTACCCCTATCACCCCAGTCACTAAGTGAATCTATCTCATCGAGGGTCCTCCTCTCCTGCGCTGTCCCTCCACCCACCCAAGCATGACATCCCTCTCCAAGAGCTGGTCCCACCTTGCAACATGTCCAAAGTATGTCAGACAAAGCTTTAGAATCCTTGCCTCCAAGGAGCAGCCTAGTCTCACCCTCTCTAGGATGAAACTATTTGTTCTCCTAGCAGTCCATGGTATATTTAATAGTCTTATCCAGCACCACAGCTCAAAGGCATCAATTCTCCTTCTATCATCCCTACTCACTGCCCAGCTCTCTGATGCATAGATGGCAAAGACCATGGCCTGAATCAGGTACACCTTAGTCTCCAGATTGACATCATTGCTCTTCAGTACTTTGGAGAAGTCTCGGACAGCAGACTTTCCCAATGCAATTCATCTTTTAATTTCCTGGCTGCTGGTACTAAGAGTGTTAACTGTAGAGCCAAGCAAACTAAAGCTGTGAACAATCTCAATCTCTTTACCATCTATCGTGATGCTGCCACTTGGCCCAGTGGTGAAAATCTTTGTTTTCTCGATGTTGAGCACACGGTTCAAATTCACCAGCTTCTGTGCAAGAGAAAGATGGGTGATCTCCTCACGTGCAGTTAACTGCCTCTGAAAACCCATGAGAGTCGGCCATGGGTTGTTTCAACTCAACAGTACACAACAAGAACCCTTTCTTGGGGAGCTCTGGTGGCCTAGTGGCAAGGAACTGCAACTACAATCCCAGAGGTGCACGGTTCGAATCCACCAGATGCTCTGCCGAGGAAGGAGGGACAATCTCCTCCTGTACCAGTCAGATCTGATTTGACGGTACACGCACACAAAAATAATAATAATAAAAAAACAAAACAAACAAAAAAAAGAACACTTTCTCAGAAGATTGGGTGCTGCTTTCGCAGATCAATTTTGCCGCATTCCTAGAAGTTAGCCACAAACTGTGACTTTCAAGTTTCCTGCTTAGTGGACTTGATGACTCCAGAGAGCTGCTGCAAACTCTATCGGCACCCCTGCGGCAAGGTGGAAAAGTATGAACTCTGGAAGCAGAAAACTGCTGGGAATCCCCAACTGGCCCCTGGGTGGGTCGTGGGGGGGGGTCACATTTATGGAGGAACTTAATCATCTTCACTCAGTAGTGAAATGTACAATAACACCCATCTTTGAGGATGATTGTAAGGATAAGAGATGATGGGCTTCAGAACCTATGAAGCATCACTGTTCAGTAAGGCAGCGTGGACCACGGCTGCTGTGTATGAACTAAACTGTGACTCCGTGGACCAGTTGGTAGAAAAGCAGAGAGGCCCGCTCCTCCACTTACTGTTGTAGTTCTCCGCCAGGACAGGTATCAAACCGCACTTGCCCGCCGTGTGGACTAATCCTCCATCCAAGCTCATGGCGTCAGCATCTCCATTCTGCAAAAAAAACAAAGCAAGTTCTAGAGAAAGCTTTTTCCCTGTGCCACGTGCCCTTCCAGTCACTTCTCTGAGGCCACCTTAACATCACAGCCTGTGTAGACCCACAGAGGGAGTTGTTGTTTATATTGAACCATTTAAAGGATTTACAACCAATAAGTTTCTCAGCATCAAGAAAACAATAACCCTCACAATTAGACTAATACATAACAGTGTGATAAATGAGAAAAGACAGTGCCAACAATTTCATTTCACCTGGATGCACAACCAACACCCAAAGAAGCAGCATTTAAGAGATTAAACAACATATTGCATTGAGTAGATCTGGTGCCAAGGAGACTCTTTAAAGTGCTAAAGAGCAAGGATGTAATTTTAAAGACTAGGGTGCACCTGATCCCAAGCCATGATTTTCTCAATTGCTTCATGTGCATGTGAAAGTTGGACAATTAATAAGGAAGATCAAGAAGAATTTTTTCATGCTGGCACTGATGAGAATGTCAAATATACCATGAAATGCCAAGAAACAAACACGTCTGTCTTGGAAGAGATGTAGCAAATGTGCCACTTAAAAGCAAGAGTGGTGAGACTTTATCTCACATGCTTTGAGCATGTCCTTACGCAAGGGTAATTCCTAAAGAAAGACATAGTGGTTGGTCAATGAAACCAAGGTAAAGCCTCAATAAAATGGTTTGACACAGTGACCACGATCATAGACTTATGCACAGCAGAGTCTGTGAAGATGTTATCTGAGCCAGCATCATAGCATCTACCAACAGTTAGGATAATACGATACTACAATCTCAATTAAAAGGATAAGATTACAAGTCATTTTTTAAAATTGTCTTCTTTTTGGTCATTCAGGATTTTGATTTTCAAAATTCTTCAAGAGAAAACGACTCGATGGCACATAACAACAACACACACAGATATTCCTCTGATCAGTACAACAAAACGTAAGAGCGGCTTTCAGAATCAATATGGGTCCTTAATGTGCTATCAAGGTTGCCTCTTAGGCAGGACCAGAAGACAGAGGATGATGCAGCTTGCCCTTCCACCTAATGCTTAAATAAAATAAGACCCCAAGGGGTCTTAGAGCCGCATGCTCAAAGGCGCTGACCGGAGTGAGACTGTGCCCATCGCAACTGAGAGCCAGTCTCCTAAGAGGTAGCATTTCCACACCACTGCACGGAATATTGAGTGAAGGGACGCTGCCCCGGGTAATGTACCATGATCTTGACAATGCAGTCGTCAGTGTTCTCTGCTGTTTCACACTCTATTTTCCCTTCGCTGTTAACACTCCATTCATCGCACTTGACCCTCTCCGCGTGGCCCACTGCACACCACTTCACCTTCTTGCATTCTTCCTCAGGGCCTGTGGCATTAGAAAAAGGAGTTTAGAGATCAGACGAGACCACACAATTACCGGGCAGTTATTAATGCTACGGTCTTCAAGCAGAGGTGATAACGGTGGTATCAAAAGTGATAAAGCCTTGCCTCACATACTTTGGGCTTGTTGCTAGGAGAGGCTATTCCATGGAGAGGGACATCATGCTTGGGAAGCTGGAGGGTTGGTGAAAGAAAGGAAGAATCTTTATAAACAGCTGGATTGACTATTGCAATGGACTCCAGTGTGACCAAGATTGTGAGGACAGACAGGGTTCAGATTTGTTCACAGTCACTATGAATCATACTTAACTCAATGGGCCCTAACAACAACAACAACGAGATGCTGCCGTTTTCCAACCTCAAACAAGTAGATTCTATTTGAGGAGTCTCTCACTTTGAGTGTGTCAGAGATGAAGCAGATGGCACAGAATAGGCCAAGGTTCAGATCTGCTAGTCAAAGAGTTGTTGCTACAAATCACAGCTGGCTTGAGGGCACTACAAATCCAGACACATTCTTTTTCATGAAAATCACAATTAAAATAAAAAAAATCTTATTAAAAAAAAGACACATGCTCTTTTTTTTTGTGAGGAAAAATTTGCATTTAGTATCAGCCAGCTGTAGTGGCAAGAAGCTGTACCGCAATCCTGAAGGTTTGTGGTTTGAATCCACCAGATGCCCTGCTGGAGAAGGAGAGGCAATCTCCTGCTGTACCAGTCAGATCCAATTTGATGGCACATACACACAAAATAATAATTTTAAAAAATGAAAAAAAAATAATAGCATTTGCCAGCTGGAGTCAGTTTAGATGATCTCAATTTTGTTGGCAACATCCAAAGCATCATAGTCAGGAGCAAGTCAAACATTGGCCTTCTTTCCATGAGGCCTCATCAAGGTGTTGACCTTGGCCACATCAGTGTCATAGAGTTTCTTTACAGGTTGTTTAATTTGGTGCTTGTTGGCCTTGACATCCACAATGAACACAAGTGTGTTGTTATCTTCTATCTCCTTCATGGCTGACTCAGTGGTCAGGGAAACTTGATGATGGTGTAGTGGTCAAGCTTATTTCTTCTGGGGGCGCTCTTCCGGAGGGATCTGGGCTGCCTTTGGAGTCTCAGCGTCTTACGCAGCCAGAAGGTGGGTGACGTGCGGATCTTTTTTGTGTGTCTGTGGATGCCCTTCAGGACGCCTTCTTGGCCTTTAATGCCTTTGCTTTGGCTTCCGTTTTGGGAGGGGCAGGGGCTTCCTTCTTCACTTCAGCACCATCTTTGTAGAAGGAGCAAAAGACGCATTCTTGTGTCTGGGTTCTTCCCATTCATTGTTACGTACCTTCAAGTTGGAACCAACCTGTAGCTGATCCTCCAGCGGGTTTTCAGGGGCAGTAAATGATATAAGGGGAGACTGCCCATCTTCCTCCCACAGAGCGGCTGGTGGGTTTGAACTGCATCCCTTAGAGTTGGCAGCACAGCTCCTTACCATTAAACCACCAGAGCTTTCATTCTTATCATTTAGATTCCCCTTATTATTATTCCTTCTGCAAAGCCAATATGGGGGAATACTATCACTTCTCGATTTTATTCAAGAGTATGTAATGACCTGCCCTTTTCTTGTTTAGTGTTATTGTTGTGAAGAAGAACTTCAGTGCCATCAAAGAGCCCTGTCATTGTCCCCCACAGCCTACATTGATCTAGGCAGTGATTGCATGGGATCCCATGGTCCAGACTCATCTGAAGCACCCCTTCTTCAGGGAACCCTTTGCCTGACGCCCTTTTCTGTGGCTGGATTGTCTTGGTTCTGCCTTGTCATAGGATCTTGATGTTCCTTTGATTTCCTTCCACGGAGCAGTTCTCTCAGTGTGCAATTGGCGACTTGGCAGCGGGACTCCTCATTAAACATCTGTCTTTCCCCACTCGCCTCCCCGTTGGGCTCTGGCAGAGTCTCTGTTCTGCTCACCTCCGTGCACCCAGCACCTGATGTGAGTTCTGACTGTTGCTCGTTATGGTCGCATTGACTCTGAGTCACAACAACCCTGGGTGAGCAGAGCAGAACTGTTTCACAGGGTGTGCGAGGCTGTGAGGTCTTCGTACTCAAGCACCACTATGTGGGCCCCAAACACAAACCTTCTGGCTAGTCAATGAGAACTTTGTCCTTTGACCAGAGCTTAACCCCGTGTGGGGCCCAAACACAAACCATTTGCAGCAGATTAACCGCTGCACTAGAGGTTCAATAAATGCCCATTGAGTGAATAAACCATCAGACAAATTCCCAGCAACTCAAAGAAATTTAGGCGTAGGGCCAACCTCTCTCTGCTTGACAGTACTGCACGGAGAGGGGAAGGGTATTGCAATTTCATGACATCTTCACCTACTCTGTGTGAGTTTAATGGACTTCACAAAGTGACCAGGCTGACCTTGACTTATCCCAGTGAAAGAGTTGCTGCTGCTGCTGCTGTTGTTGTTGTTATGTGCTGTCGAGTCTCCTGTGACTCATAGCGACCCAATATACAACAGCTCTGAAGCCTGCCCTGTCCTGAGACAGCCTCACTGACTCCGACACACCCACCCTCCCAGTCCGAATCAAATTTATTATAAATATAAAATTTCTCTTAAAGCCTCTGTTAATGTTAGGCGCATCCCATAATATTGTTGCTGTGTGTACCATTGAGTCAGAACTGACCCTCCAGAGGGTTTTCAGAGGCAGAAAATCACACAGGATCTTATTGCCCATCTTTCTCCAGCAGAGCAAGCTGGTGGGTTTGAACTGTGTGCCTTTGGGTTGGCAGTGTAGCTCCTTTACCACGAGGCCACCAGCGCTCCCTTCATCCCATAAGTGCCAAAACCATTTAACATGAGTCCGTTACTGGGCAGCATTGGCAGGGCAGTCAACGGTTCTCAGAAATCCAAGAAGGTTCAGTCCCTAGACCCCACTCGTGCAGCGTCTCCCAAGCTTCTGCTGTCACCAGGCCCCTCCTGGATACTCACATTTGCCTTCCTTTAGATTTCGAAAGGCGGTGACATAATCGTATCCCAGGTACATCCAGGCATTCATCCCAGAGGGAATCTTAAGAAATCCTTCAGCAGAATCCTTAAACATCAGGTTCTTTCCATGAGAGGAGCTGAAGACGTTAAAGGATCCTTGTTTATCTTTGCCGTATTCTTCCTGTTGGCGGGAAAAGTGAATGGAGACTGAGCAAGGGTAATTGGAAAATGAGACTAAAGAGGAAAGAAAGTCTGCAAAAATGAATGAAATTTTTTAAATAAAACTTAATAAAAAAGGACTTCATGGAGGGAACTTCTGATGGCCTTAGTGGTAAAAAGCTGCACTCAACCCCAGAGGTACGCAGTTTGAGTTCACCAGATGCTCTGCTGAGAAGAAGAGGCAATCTCCTCCTGTATGTATCAGTCTGATCTAATTTGACGGTACACACACAAAAAAAATAATTTAAAAAAATTAAGAAAAATAAAAGGAGGTTAATGGGAATGAAAGAAAAGGGTAGACGGGGTGGAGGCAGGGAGGAAAATGTGCAACAGTGAATGAATGAAAATCTAACTTTTCTATAAACTTTCATTAAAATCACAATACAAAAATTACAAAAAAAATTTCAATTAAAAAAAATAAATAGAAGAGAAAGGCCCTGAAAACAAAATTTAAAACCACAACACTTGTCAAAGTTGCGTGGAAAGTTTTTGCCCGCTCTCTGTCTTCTCCACACCCAGCCCTCCTAGACCCCAGCCACATGTCCTGTTTTCCTAAACAGATTTCTGTATCCCTCTCCTCCAACTAAGTGGAGAGAGCCTGGAGGTCCAGGCATGAATCTCATTCATATGGAAACTGCACGGTTGCCATGGAAACGCTCACTGGTCAGAAGGATGCTGGCTCCACAGGAGAAAAAAGCAAGCTGGGTTTGCAGTTCCCTTGGCAAACAGTCTGAGAGGAAGTGTAAGTGCAAGAGGAATCTTTCCGGAGGACTTCCTGGGGGAAGTGGAGATTGCTCTCCATGAAGGGTTTGTTTTGATGGGAAGGAATGGAACAGAGCAATAAGGAGCCTCATCAAGAGTCAAGTTGATAGCACAGCTGGCTAGCATATCCCCACTCTGGGGTGTATCTCCTGGTACTTCCAGGGGAGCGTGGGGAGTGGTCCCTGCTGTGTGCTGAGCACAGAAGGACTTTTAGAATATCATGAAGGCAAGAAGAGGGGGGAAAAAACCCACCCCAAACTCAAGTAAGGGAAGGTCTACAAAGCAGAAGGGGAGGAAGGTTGATGAGGATACCTGAGCCTTGCTGAGAAGCTCCCAGATCAAATCTTCCTTGCCATCCACGCTTCGGGCCACGACGGAGTGAGACGGGACCCAGGCCAGGTTGCACTCCTTGTACTTATCCACCGGCTTCCGGGTGTTGTCTGGGCAAAGCAGCTCATAGTTCCCCCTCTCGGTACTGTCTGGTATGTTCTCTGGGGAAGAAAAAAGTAAGTAAAACAACTATGAGATATCATTTCACCCCAGTCAAAATAGCAAAATTTAACAGAACAGCAAGCAACAAATGCTGGCGAGGTTGTGGAGAAACTGGAACCCTGATTCACTGTTGGTGGGAGTGTAAAATGGTGCAACCCCTGTGGAAAGCAGTTTGGCGCTTTCTCAAAAAGTTGCAAATAGAGATACCATTTGACCCAGCAATTCCACTACTGGGAATATACCCTGAAGAGACCATAGCTGACATCCAAGCAGATATATGCACACCCATGTTTATTGCAGCTTTGTTCACAATAGCAAGGAGTTGGAAACAACCTAAGTGCCCATCAACAAACGAATGGCTAGAGAAGCTGTGGTATATTCGCACAATGGAATACTATGCTGCATTAAAAAACAAGGAACTCATGCAATATTATTCAAAATGGTTGACTCTGGAGAACATTATGCTGAGTGAAATATCCCAGTCACAAAAGGACAAATATTACATGATGCCACTGTTGTAGAATGGGACTGTCCTTGGGGTTGGGGAGAGACTGAGTAAGATGGGTTCAATAATGTATACTGCACTGAAACAGAGGAGGGAGAGAACCGTCTAAAAGAGAGATGTAACTGGGTATTTCTGTCATCACAGGAGACTAGAGCGAGGGCTGCATGGTGGAGGGGACCTGGGGGAGTGTTTGTAAAACAATGAAAGAATCTTTTCTTTTACTTTTCCATAATTTTTGGACTCATGTACTTATAACTTGTTAGTCAAATTTGTGTCTTCTAGGTTGCAACACCCCCATGATACATCTTGAAGGATATGTACATGTACAGCCAAGCACAATCAATAAGAGTGCATCTGAATTCCAAAATCAATCTCCATAATAGTCTATGTGTTTCCTACTGCCAAAGGGGCCCTTTAGAGTAGTGAGAGAAGATCTTCACCCTGAAACCCACAGCGTCCCTTTTCAGCAGGAAGTAGCTAAGAGAATACGCCGTCCCCTTTTCCTTATGACTCAGGGTGAAGTCTCTCTCAGGGAGGAGTGATAGGGAATGGCAAAGGACACACTGACAAAGAAGATTAATCAGAACTGGCTTTGAAAAAAAAAAAAGAACTGGCTTTGACAAGCACTGTGGCATTTGGACAAGAACAAACTGGGAGTAGGGTAGAGAGAATAGTGCAACAATGAATGAGTGGAAGCCCAAAATCTCTGTAAATGTTTATGAAAATTAATAAAATATAATTATAGAGAAAAAAAAAGAATCCAGAAAAAAAAAAAAAAAGAAAAAAGTAAGATGAGCGCCTTTGCTGGCAGAAACCGGGAGCTGTGGTACCCCCTCAGGGCTCCCTCCTGGGTTGGGGGAGGCAGGCCAGAGGGCTCACTGACAGCCACAAACACAGAGGAGACTGGCTTGCTCGTGACCCACTGCCAGCTTAAGGCGAAAATAGTGATGTCAAAGGCGGCTCTGGTGCCTAGGGTGGTGACACAGCCTCCGCATCTCCTGCCTCTGCACAGTCTGCCCTCAGCACATGGACAGACAGACGGGCTACAGTCAGCCAGGCTAACCTCAAACCCTGTAGATGGTAACAGTGTCCCTGGAAGCAGAGGAGATTGGACTGTGGAAAGAGGTCCAGTTTAGGTAGGAGAGTCACAGGGACACCCAGGGACACACCTCAGAGCAGGCAAAGAACTGCAATGATGGCAGAAGAGGAGGTCAGTGTGTTCATCTAGAAAGCAGAAGCCAGGCAGAAGAAGAAACTCCATTGCGTGGAGAGGACCGGCAGAGCCTCTCTCCCCACCACTTACCAAGGATCGTCTCGTACTTGACAAAGGCCACGTCTCCAACCCCATCCTGCAGACATCTGTGGGAAAGAAACGCTTTAGGAGGATGCCGAGGTGGGATGTAGGGTGGGGATGGGGGCTCTGGTCACACACTCCAGCCCTGGGCAGAGAGCTGCCATTTCCTTAATTTAGAAGGGGTAGCCGGCCCCCTGGGGTACTGACATCCAGGGAGCTACCAACGCTCGCTTGCCCTGGCTGGAGGCTTCTCAACTCAGATCCCCAAAGAGCAAAAAGCAAATGAAGAGATTCTGATGCAGAAAATATTTACGCTTCTGAGGAGAAGGATAAAGAGATAGCATCTTACAAGGCTGCAAAAGTAGACAAGGCATCTTCTAAAGCTGGGAATGGGCCGTTGGCTTAGATAACATGCTGTTGCTGTTGTTTTTTAGGGACCATCAAGTCAGAGGTGACTCCTGGGTGACCCTCCAGCAGGTTTTCAGAGGTGATAAACTGCACAAATGGGGATTATACATCTTTCTCTGCTGGAGCAACTGGTGGATTTGAACCAGGTACCTTTGGGTTGGCAGCGCAGCTCTTTACCACTAGGCCACGAGAGCCTGATAACACTTTAGATGACATTTTAGGATGGACCTCGGGTGTCTTAGCGGTAAGGAGTTGCGACGCCAATCCAAAGGCACATGGTTTGAATCTCCTAGTTGCTCCATGGGAGAACGATGGGAACGCCTCTCGTGTGAGTTCCAGCCTCTGAAAACCTTCAGGAGGGTCAGCTATGAGTTATGTGATGGTGCATAACAACATTGGAAAAAAGGAGGAAGAAATCTGCTAAGTGAGCTGTCTGCAGGCTGGTGAGTAAAGCAGGAAAGAGGTCAGAGGCAAAAGGACTGTCCATAAAGAAAGGGCTTGGCTATTAGCAATGTGATTGTCCTTCCAGATTCAGGGGTTCTGGACAAAAAGGTAGGGTGACAGGCAGAGATTCACACAGCTAGGCAAGCATGTCTTGGAGCAGGATGAAAGGGAACAGGATGGAAAGCGCCGGGTCTCAGAAGCCCCTCGCTGGGAGGGAATCTGGGCTCCTGACTGCCTGTCAGCACACCAGACTTTGCTCTGGGGCAAGTGCGTGAGTCTAAGGCTGAGGCCACATGGCCATCTGTGACCACCATGGGGTAGCACGTCTCACTCACTTGAGAGCACCCGTGTAGCCGTAGTATTTTTCATGGGAGTTGCAGGCACACTTGTCGGGCCCGGCACACAGCTGGCACAGCTTGGGGAACCGATTCCGGTCCGCACAGGGGACGCAGCTGGCGGAGAAGTAGTTGGCCACCGCTGCTCAACACAGAGAAACGACGTCAGGGCAAGTGCCAGGCTTACAACAGCCCATTGTATGGTCCAGCCTGGGTTCATGAGAGCACAGAGAATGGTGCACACAGGCCAAGCCAGGCTGCCTTTACTGGTGTCAACTCTAAGATCAGAGCTTCCCAAACAGGACTAAAAAACCCCCCATCTCATCCTCCTCCCCAAGGTGCTGATCTGGGCTTTCACCTTCCAAGTGGGCTGTGAGCTCTCCCACCTCCCCTGTAAGATGAAGATCCCCCCTGGGGGTCACGCCCTGGAGATGGGAGGTCTGGGTAGGGGAGGCGCAGGCCAAAGGCCACCAGAGAAACTTCCAGCAGGATGAGGCAGGAGTCAACCTCAAGCAGGGAGGAGTTCCAGAGAAATAGATGCCCAGGCACCATAATCCAGACTGAAAGCCTCTGCAGGGATCCTGGTACCCTTCCCCGGACTCCTGCTCAACCACCGCTGGCCCAGAGGGGGCTCAAAGGAGAAAAGCCTCAGCTGTTACCCCCAAGGGCTGCTTGGTCATGAAGAGGTGTGCATGCATGCATGTGGGAGAGCGTGTGTGTGTATGTGTGTGTGTGTTACTTAAGGCATAAAATGAAATATACTTCCATGTGTATATGTATGATGCAAAAAAACCCAACCCCAAAATAACCCCCAAAAAGATAAAACCCTTTACTATTGGGTGAGTTCTGACACTCACAGCCCTGCGCCAGATTTCCAAGACCCCAGTGGAAAGAATTGCCCATCTTTCTCCCTCAGAAAAGCTGGTGGGTCTGACTTGTAAACCTCCAGTAGAGAAGTACAATTTATAACATGTTAACCTCCCCTCTCCCCGAGCTCCTTACATCCTTACATTACTGGCTGCACAGAATTAAACATCTGTGAGTATAAATGCTTTACTCTGATATTTCTCTTTTCCATTTATGCATTTCAGGGCTCACGAGTGTTTTAATTAAAAAGATTCTGAAGCTTATATTTTATGCAAAAGAAAGAAAAGTGTCTATTTACAGCAATGATCTTATGTAAGATTACAATAAAGAATTGATTTTTATTGGCGCCCCCTCCACTCCTCACCCCTCCAGACCGCCTCACCTAAGAGTGTCTCTGTTCACCTGATAGTCACCCTGTGGCCCCCACTTTCTGAGGGTACACTCCCTCCTGCCGTCTTACCACTCTCAATGGGCACGCGTGGCTGTGGCAAGGAGCAGAGAATCTTGCCGATTGGGATGATCCAGCCGGCCGACCTGCCCAGGCCCGTGTGGCATGACTTTTTGTCTTGCAGACCATCCAGATGGAAGTCGCCGCCCTTCTTGACCACAGCCACAGCATAGTATCCAGTCTGCGGTTCTACAAAGAGACAGAGTAAATGAGAGCCCCTCAACGTGGGCCCTGGGAGGAACTGTCTGGACATCGGTGATGGACTCCTGTGTTGGCAAGGGGGCCCAGCAGCTCTGTTCTTATTGGCATGGATGGGAAGGAAGTGAGAGTCTGGAAAAGCTTCATGGGCTACTGGAGGTGCACTTGGAATCATCCCAGATACTCAGAGGCCCCGTGCTCACAATCTGTTCTGTGAGCATAGTTTGGGGTTCAGAGGGCTGGTATCAGGAGCACCACAGAGAACCGGATATGGGAGTTTAGCGGCCACCAGGGCCCCTCATTCTCCGCAAATGGCATGGATAAGGAATGCCCATCAAAAACTCGGCACCGGCCAAACAAAGTCCTTCTGGGTGCCCTGGGAGAACTCACTCTCTTTTGAGCCATGGAACTCTGCCACAACGGGCTTCAGGTTGTAGGGAGCCAGGGCTGCCTCGTACACCCAGCCGGCATCAAGAGTCACAGCATCGGCTCGCTTGTCCTGCAAGAGGGTAGAGCAGACCACAGTGAAACCCTCACTTCCAGGGACTAGACCAAACATTAAACTTCTGCCACAGAGTCAACTCTAGCAAGCCCAGGTTAAATACTCTAAGATTTTTCTTGTCTGTATTCTTTATCTAAATGAAAAAAAATTTTATATTGGTTTACTCACAAAGTTTATGTTGTTGTTTAATGCCGTCAAGTCGTAGACGACTCATAGCGACCCTATGAACAAACAGCCTGAGCGCTGTTCGTACATAGAGTTTCCGGAGACAAGCCATTTCGGAAGTGGATACCGCTCCTGCTTCCGGGCTTGATTTAGTCGGGAAGCTCCAGCCAACACTGTCCACCATGGGTTATATATATAGGTTATATATAGGCTATAAATAAGGCACACAGTTCAAATTCACCAGCTGCTCTGTGGGAGAAGGATGAGCAATCTCCTGTGTGATTCATTGCCTCTGAAAACCCATGGGAGGGTCAGCTATGGGTCAGTTCTGACTCAACAGCATACAACAACAACTGGTAAGTCTAAATTATTTTAGAAGGAATGACATCACATAAAATATGTCCTGTGACTGTTTGTCACAAAGGTTATACACATTTTATTTCACACTATTCTTCATTCCTCTTGTGTTTCATACAGTCATTCCCGTGCATTATAAAATCAATCACCAATGCACACCCATGTTTATCGCGGCTCTGTTCACAATAGCAAGGAGCTGGAAACAACCCAGGTGCCCATCAACAAACGAATGGATAGAGAAGCTGTGGTATATTCACACAATGGAATACTACGCTGCATTGAAAAACAAGGA